GTGATGTTATGATTTTGTTGTGCTTAAATTTTGCAATAATTCTCACTAAAATATCTTGAAAATCATTGTAAGCCTGTTTATATAAAGCATACAAAGCATATACATCGACAAGGAACCGCAATGTTTTTGCAATCAAATTTAAACTTCGTGACCGAATGACATAAAACTGACATGTCATCTCTAGCATTTTCGTCCTTGGTCGCGTAATTTTGAAAACGGGTGTAATGGTTAATCATCAAACTATCTGCCCATGTGTCTGGTTAACCCATTAAGTTATATTGCACCCTAATGCTCCCAACTTTATTATTTTACTCTGTGTAATGCCAGACAATTTAATTCATCAAGGAGAGAGTGCTGGCACTCAATGGGTTAATCATCAGACTATCTGCCCATGATGTGTCTATAATTAAGTTAAACATTAAGTTAATGTATGTATTGCATCCTAGATGCATCCTACTTTGTTATTTTACTCTGCGTAACACCAGACGATTTCACTTGTCATGGGAAAGGCACTGGGATGAACGGGTAATTACCAGTAACAATTAATTAATAACAACACCGCCAAATCATTAATAGAATAAAAATACATTATTCTCATGTACACAAGATGAAAAAATGCCTTTACTGTTTGCCATACAGTATTACAATTACTTATATGTATATGTATTCACAAACCCTTTATGACAATCATTCATACAGTACATACTGTATGAATGAACGCGAAACTACATGAAGTTGGTTTCATGGCGATATCATGAGCTTCTGCTAGGATCTCCAAACTACAATATTGGATATATAATACAGGCGAGCATTCCTGCTAATACTAATGTACATTAGCAAAACAAACTTGGTCACCCCTCTCTCCCAGTTCAATGTTGTGAACAAGCCTGAAACAACATTTGGTTAATTTACCATCGGCATGACACAAGCTCAGTGGGCTTAAGAATAATCAGCAACATCATGTTATAGGAATTTATCATAATGGCTTTGCGAATTTTGTATAGAGGGGGAAGTAGTTGCAACAGATATGGACGTCACTGCACACGAAAAGCAATCAAATAACATTTATACTGCAATTACCTCTTTGCCCATCATCACACACGTTTCCACATACACACAAATCTTCAAGCATTTAGAGAAAGGTTTTGCCAGCCCACAAGGCGATTCTTTGAGCTATAAATCAACAAAATTAGCAGATTTAAGAAATGATAAGCCCCGCAAATGCCTTTTAACTCCTCTTTTATTTATTTTATTTATTTATTTATTTATTTAGCTTCGCCTATAATATTAAATTATAATTATTATAATTTTAAATAAACACTTGTAATTATAGCATAATAAATATGAATATTAATATTTGGATGAGAGGATTATACAATTACTTTATGATTTCCGTGTTTGGATGGCCTGATCCAAACACGCGAGAATGTTGCGAGGGTTAAGAAAAGCGAGCGAAATCACGAGCCGAAGGCGAGTGATTTTGCCCGCTTTTCTTAACTCGAGCAACATTCCCAAGTGTTTGGATCATTCCATCCAAACAGGGAAACCATAAAGTAATTGTTTTATAAAATAACAACAACACGATAGTCTTCCGTGTTTGGATGGCCTTATCCAAACACGGGTTTCGACCAATCAGAATACGCGTTATATACATGTTATTTTATAATTAAATTTACCAGTAATCGTGTTTCGTATACTTTTAATACGAAGGGCAATTTTAATAAACAAAAATAGACGAACAAATGTTCTCGGAATCCAAAGGATTTAAACGTACAGAGTTACAATTAGATCAATTTTAAAATGCAGCTACAAGTTATACATTATTTCAAAATGTATTTTAATCGTATACTCACCCAACTTTCCAGTCATTTGTATATTAAAACTCAGGCGTATACTGTGAATAAATCATTGAAAGGTACGACGTAACTGCCAAAGTTCAAGCTCAGTAAATATATGAAAATGTGAACAGTCAATATTCCATAATGTATTTATACCGTATACAACCTCCTGTCCTGTCAAGTTATCATGAATATAAATAATTTCTCGATGTTTGTTCTCGGCGCCATGCATGCTGTCAAAAACTCAAAATGGTTGCTTTTGTTAAATCGGATTGGAAAACGCGGGTATGGAGACACAAACGCGGACATACCGGATATTTATGACAAACACAGCAGTTCTGGAAGACGGACAGAGAACGATACGGAGGACGCATGAAAGCTACTGGATTACTTCTATTTCAACCATAATACCCGATAGTGCTTTTCCAACGGTTGTAAAAACACTTGAATAGTTATAAACCTACAGATATGTACCCCGCTGACAGTGGTTCTGCTAACAGTGTAATTTGTGTTTCTCCTCAGCTCAGAAACCATCAACAAAACTAAAGGCCGTTTTCCACTAGGGGGAATTTTCCGCGCGGAGCGGAATTTTTCTTTGTCTTGTGATTTCTCGGGTGGAACTAATTAGAAAAGACAAAGAGAAATTCCGCTCCTCGCGGAAAATTCCGCCTAGTGGAAAACCGCCTTAAGGGACCGGTCATTATTTATGGAAGGGGGGAGGGGAATTTTTTCTTTCCTAAATTTTTAAAATTGAAAGCACCCCCCTTAAAAGAGCAGAAATTGAATGATGACCCCCCCCCTACATATTAGAATATTTTTCTTTGACCCCCCCCCCCCATTATCATTTTTTCTCGTCAAATGGGGATACCCAGGCGTTATAGTGTTAATTATTAAATAAGAATATGGAACTGACAAGATATTAACATCGACCAATAATACAATCTCGTACCCAGAGTATGCCCGTTCGCAGGTTAGGTGCTGGGCATGACTCTGGAGAAACGGAATGAAATTATCAATTCCATTGGCTGGCGTGAGATCAATGACACCGATACCGGAAATTGGTGTTCAAGTGCAGGAATTACACGTGGAAATTGCCGAATACGACGTAAACAAAGTCGAAATTACATTTATTTGCAAGATTTCAAATACAAGTTAAATGTTACATTAATTCTGATTGAGGATTTACCTACGATCTGTGCACTTTTGTATCTTGTATTATGGCAAATACTTTTTCTTGTTTACCGATATGAAAGCTGACTGACATGGCTGAATTCCCGAAACAGATGTAATAAAATATTTACTTCAATTCAATTGCGCTAGTGATCGCCAGTGTTGGGATTTTAGCTTGTCGTTCTGGACCTGTGTTTGCCGTTTGGACATACGAGCATAGAATTTGCGTGTGGATATAAGACTCTTTTTGAGTATACCATAATATTCATATAACTGTATAAATATATTAAAGTATTAAATTCAGTGAGCCATGGATCTGTTACAAATACATCAAGGCCATACTATAGTAGTGAAATATTCGTGAAAGTAATAATTTTATAACAAATCTACTGTTAATTTAAGCCCTCCACATCCTCTCAAATTGATATTACAAGCTATAGTTTCTAGACTCCATGCCTGAAATAAATAAGCTGCTTGGCCAGCTTGGGGCTTAACAGAAAATAAACAGGACAGCAGTGTAGGGTGCAAACCACTCTCCCATTTCTGAAAGCCTTTGGATGATATAACATCGGTCATCCATGAAAGCATAGGTTGGGAATAAAATAAGCTGTAAATTGCCAGAATTTTGAGGCCATATTTAAAGAACTGAGATTTAGAGCACCATAAGGTGTTCATGTTGTGGCAACCTAAATTCAGCATTCCCACCAAGTGGCTGCTACTGCAGTAAGAGAATACAATTTTGATGTGCTGAAATTATATATGCTAACAATACCGGTATGACTACGACCAGTGGTGTAGTCCTGGAATGTTAACAAGGGGGGCTCTCCAACAGGGGGCGAAACTTCTGTATTACAGCTGGGGGGTAACTTGTTTTGCCTGACCAAAAGGGCGTTTCCGATGTCGTTCCTGAGGAACAAACATTTGACCAGTCGTTAATTAATATTTCTTTTCGAAATTGTTGGTGAGCGGAGCATTTTTCACTACCACTTTTTCCTACCACTATTTCAATCTGAGCATATGATCTGAGACACTCAAATATTTTCAAAATTTGCCCGACTAAATTGTATGGGTATACCCGATGAGATAGAGACGGGGTGTCACCCACACTTTTGTCCCTGTTCTCCAAAAAGTTCAGGACTTTCGGGGGGGGGGGGGTGTTTGCAATATGATATTTTGGAAATTTTGTTGTGTTTTTTTTCTAACAATTGTGACATCAATGGGACTTATTAAAAACAATGGCCGTTAGTAATATAAAATATTCTGAGCGTCTCAAAAGGGTATGTAATTAATTCAAGGTTTCTGTACCACTTTTTGTAGATGCAATTCTATTAACAGCATTCTCATTTAAGATTATGTAAAAAAATATAGAGGGGGAGGGCTCAGAAACCCCCCCCCCCCACTACACCACTAGCTACAACAATGCCATAGTGGCAGCAGGTCATCCCACATGCATCTTACATCCCGCCTGCAACATTATATAGTTAACGTACAGTACATAATCAATGGGAATAGTAACTAGTTACCTTGACTTGGCTATATGCCTGTTGCTGGCATACATCAGCACATGAAAGTTATTATTCATCTCCCTGGGATATGCAGCAATGTCAGGAGGTCAGGGTAATGTAACTTACCCCATAACACCAATAATGGCAGATTTCCCAATCAGTGCCCGCAGTATTTGGATAGGCAATTTTATTTTTAGCAACACCCTGCCTTGCCTGCCACCTTTCAGACAGACACCAAACCTGATGACATTGTCCTGTGTTAATTGTTAAACCCAATAGTTTACATGATAATATTAGCAAAAACACTTCAAAGTTCAAACACTGTGTCATATAATTCCATTTAATTATTTTTTCCCATTTAATTTATTTTCAAGCATCAATAATTGTGAACATAAGTTTTTATGACTCAATTAAATACATATAACCATGGAACTGTTTGTATGAATGCAATGCACAATGTTAAATCAAAGGAGTGATACAGAGTTAATTAAACAGAGGGAAGTATTTTCATACAATCATACTCATTTTAAGTATCAATACATCAAGGCACCAATTATATTATTTAATTGTAATAAACAAAATAGGCTAACCAGCCACAGGTCCACAGTGGCACATCAAGCATTCTAGATATTTGAATATCTAGATCCTCTAAACCTCTGTCAGTGGCCTTCTTGCGAAGTCTCTCGATACCATTTCTTGACCGTATAAAATCCATAAAAATGCTTAGTTTATATACACCGCATATATATTTAATCTGTAACTTTTAGCACAAGAAAATAAATCTTTTTCAATTGATTTCAATGTAAAAAGTATCAAATTTTCGACAAATTCTACAATTTTATTTCTAATTGAAACTAATGACGCCCGCGCGAATTCAGTGTTGCGGTTTGAGCATGAGCATGCGCACAACTAACCGGATATCCAAAATTGGATATCCGGTATTCCGTTTCTCCAGAGTCATGCCCAGCACCTAACCTGCGAACGGGCATACTCTGGGTACGAGATTGTACTATAGTATACTATTCGTTCAAAAAATGCGCGCATTTCGGAGACTGGTTCTAGAATGTTTCATAAGCAGAAAACGACCAAAATTACATTAAATTTTCCGAAAATCATCGAAATGCATCCAAATTCATCTTTCCAATGCATATAATTAGCTATGCGACAGGTAAATAAAAGAGAAAAAAGAACAATTTCGGCAAAAAGAAAACTTCAAATTCGTTTGCGCGCACTTCGGACTCGAACTCACGACCCTCAGCATACACGCTGAGTGTTGTCCCCTTGCGCTACCACATCTTACACGAAAAATATGTTAATTAATTGTATATATACAAGTTATTCTTAGCCAGCGCGATTTATGATTGCGTAAATACGTACACCATTGTACACGGCCAAGGGTACAGTAGCAGCCGAGCCGTATTTACTCTTTAATACAATACTTACAATACATCACGGCATAGATCACGGCTACCAGCCGGGGTTATTTAACTGTAATACAACTCTACAATGCAATACGAGTGTCAGCCGAGCCTGTCGGTAGTATACTATAGTATACTACAATACATCACGGCTACCAGCCGGCAATACGGCTATAAGCCGGGCATGTCTGTAGCATACTATAGTATACTACAAAACATCACGGCTACCAGCCGGGGTTATTTAACTGTAATACAATACTACAATGCAATACAACTGTCAGCCAAGCCTGTTGGTAGTATACAGTATACTGTAGTATACTACGATACATCACGGCTACCAGCCGACAATACTGCTAACAGCCCGGCCTGTCTGTAGTATACTATAGTATACTACAATACATCGCGGGTACCAGCCGGCAATACGGCTATCAGCCGGGCGTGTCTGTAGTATACTATAGTATAATAAGTATACTACAGACACGCCCGGCTGATAGCCGTATTGCCGGCTGGTAGCCGCAATGTATTGTAGTATACTATAGTATACTACCGACAGGCTCGGCTGACACTCGTATTGCATTGTAGACTGTAGTATTTTATTACAGTTAAATAACCCCGGCTGGTAGCCGTGATGTTTTGTAGTATACTATAGTATACTACAGACATGCCCGGCTGATAGCCGTATTGCCGGCTGGTAGCCGTGATGTATTGTAGTATACTATAGTATACTACCGACAGGCTCGGCTGACACTCGTATTGCATTGTAGAGTTGTATTACAGTTAAATAACCCCGGCTGGTAGCCGTGATCTATGCCGTGATGTATTGTAAATATTGTGTTAAAGAGTAAATACGGCTCGGCTGCTACTGTACCCTTGGCCGTGTACAATGGTGTACGTATTTACGCAATCATAAATCGCGCTGGCTAAGAATAACTTGTATATATACAATTAATTAACATATTTTCCGTGTAAGACGTGGTAGCGCAAGGGGACAACACTCAGCGTGTATGCTGAGGGTCGTGAGTTCGAATCCGGAGTGCGCGCAAACGAATTTGAATTTTTCTTTTTGCCGAAATTGTTTTTTTTTCTCGTTTATTTACCTGTCGCATAGCTAACTATATGCATTGGGAAGATGAATATAGATGCATTTCGATGATTTTCGGAAAATTTAATGTAATTTTGGTCGTTTTCTGCTTATGAAACATTCTAGAACCAGTCTCCGAAATGCGCGCATTTTTTGAACGAATAGTATACTATAGTACAGCCCGGCTGGCAGCCGAGCAATCGGAGACAAAATTTCCGGCTGTTAGCCGGCGTCAAACGCGCTAATCGGGTGTGAGATCCCGGTTAAACAGAAGACGAGAAGACACTAAAGTGGCTCCCTAGTGGCTCACTAAAATTTTAATAAATTTACGTAACCTTCGTTTTTCACCAATTTATATTGAATACGTTTAAGACAGAGCCATATGAACATTTCTAGGAAAGTTCAGAAGTCTTGTGCAGTCGATATATAGACAAATAGACAAACAGTGCTGGTGTTGCCATGGCAACCACTTTTATTGTCCAATTCACAATCAAACGACAATATGTTTTTTCCTTCTGTCAATTTTTCTGATTTGAAGTTGTATGGTTGATAGAGGAATAACATATCAATGTATTATATTTAACAATTATTCGCCGAAGGCGAGGTGATTATCAGTGAATAAAAACCGAGACGAAGTCGAGGTTTTTATTCACGATAATCACCAAGCTTGAGGTTAATAATTGTTTTAGTACAATTTCATATGCGATCATTTGGGGAAAAAATAGGAAAATACACATCTTTTTGTCATTTATTTGACAAAACGGCTTCGGCCGCCATTAGGAAAATAGTTAGGTGATTATCGCGTTATAATCACCTCAACGGCAACCAATCAGCGTGGAGATATATTTTCAATAATCACCTATGTAATTATACTAATCATGAATAACGACTACAGCAAATCTGTCTTGTAGAATTTCTTGAAATTTTGATGTCGGTCATTTAAATTTTGAAAACTTACTCCTTGCAGTGGTGTAGTCCATGAATGTTAACAAGGGGGGCTCTCCAACTGGGGCGAAACTTCGGTATTACGGCTGGCGGGGGAGGGGGGTGAGCTTGTTTTGCCCGACCGAAAGGGCGTTTCCGAAGTCGTTCCTGAGGGACGAACATTTGATCAGTCGGTAATTAATATTTCTTTTCTCAAAATTGTTGGTGAGCGAAGCATTTTTCACTACCACTTTCCTACCACTATTACTTTTCAATCTGAGGCACTCAAATATTTTGAAAATTTGCCCAACTAAATTGTATGGGTATACCCGATGAGATAGAGGCAGGGGGTGTCACCCTCCCCCCCCCTCTACCACACACACACACGGGTAGTTTCGTCCCTGTTCTCCAAAAGTGTCCCGAACTGGGGGGGGGGTGTTTACAATATGATATTTTGGAAATTCTAAATTTTGTTGGCTTTTTTTAATAATTGTGGGAGAAACATTCAAAATTATGCTTATTAAAAACAATTGCCATTACTAATATAAAATATTCTGAGGGTCTCAAAAGGGTATGTAATTCAAGGTTTTTGTACCGCTTTTTGTAGATGCAATTCTAAAGAACATTCTCGTTTAAGATTATTAAAAAATTGTAGGAGGGCTCAGCCCCCCCCCCCCCCCCACATGAAATTTTACCAAGGGGGCTCAGCCCATAGAGGTGGGTCTATTTTAGATTGATCTCGAATCGGTCTCAGCTCGTTTTTTAGTTCTCCATATTGATTTCGGATCGATCTAAATCGCTAGGGCTAACAGCCCCTGACCATAGGTGTATGGGCCGGGGGGCCCCGGAGGGCACGTGTCCCCTCCCTACCCCCCAAATTTCTGCGGTCGGCCAAAAATCAATGCGACATTCGGGCAAAATAAAAATTTCGGAAAAAATATGATATGTAATGAAAACATTTTTGTATGTTTGCGGAAATTACGTGATGTTAGGGAACATTTTTGATATGTCCGGCAAAATTTTCGTATTTTACTGGCAAGTTTTTGGTATGTCCGAAAACATCTTTTTGGTATGTACCGAAATTTTTTTTTGGTATACCCGAAACAATTTTTTGTTCACCCCCCCCCCCCCTAACATTTTTGGGGAGAAATATCAATGTTAAGTTTGCCTGTTCGAGCAAACTATTCAGTGCCCCCCCCCCCTTCCAAATAAGACTACGCCCGTACGCCCCAAGCCCCTGACTATGTGGCCTTAACTGTGCAACAATATATTTACAATGTTGCCAATGGAACAGGAATATTCCCTCCTCTCCCCACAAAAAATTGCTCCGCCCCATTCGAATTTTGCATCTCCCCGTCTTTTATATACTGTATATATTGCATAATGTATATTTTGGAGATTTTTGGACATTACAGACATAAAATAATTAACTCTTAGTAAAAAGGGTGTAATCAAAACAATTTTTCTGGTTATTAAAATAATCTTTCAGATATGATCTTGGTAGAGACAGAGTAAGCTCAACGGAATACTGTAATATGCGTAGCATCTAGTATATATTTAAACTTTACAAAACTTAAATTAACCGCTGATTATGGCATAATTATCTTCCTGAGACTGAGATTTTATTTGGATAAATTTATCAAATATGTTTATAAGGTACTGAGTTTTGTGAAATATGCTTATATTTATTCAGTTCGAAAAGGGGGCCACATTTCCGAAGAGGCGCCATATTTCCTAGGAAACAGGAAATATGGCCGTGGGAAGGCAAATTTAGGTGGGGAAGGCAGTGGCGTAGCCATCCCGACAATTTGGACATGCTATGTTTCTTTTTGTTTAAAATACAAATGTACAAAATAAGGAATGTACAAAATAAGGATTATTTGGATCACTATAGCTATAGCTGAAAATAAATTGATGATTGATATACCTGAAGTGAATTTGTTGCTGAAGTCAATAAAACATTCCACATGTTTTCTTAATGTGAGAAAAGCGTCCACTTCACGACGTCGTCGTGAAAAAGAATCTTCTACTGATATTGAAACTTTTTGGGTCGTCTGATGTATCTCACCCAGCTTTAAATATTGATCGGAATGTTCTTCCAAGAACTTGAGTGTGGCAACTGTAACAGTCCCCTTCTCTACAGATTTTATCAGATTATCAAGGCAAGACTCTGCCCTAGTCATCTTGATAGCACAGTCATGGTCTTCTGTTAATTTCTCCTTAGCGCTGGAACTGCTCCCTTGAAAATTAAAAAAAATACTGTCAAATTTTACAGCAAAAAAAGTAAAATTAGTTGTTTTGCAACTTTATACAATTTCCCAGCCTAGACCTAAGGCTACTTCACGTTATCTTTTGTTTACAAAGTATATGTCGGCTTTTAACATGCACATATGCGTGACTGGGCAGGTGCAGTAACACAGTACAGTCCATTTCAAAATATGCCTATATAACAAGTTAACAACCTCGACATGTATACATATTTAACCATGATATTTAACAAAGCATTATGAGAAGTTTCTCGTGAGCTTTATTGTACATGCTAACAGTAGAAGTTCCGCTAATCGCCATTCGAAAAGCAGAAAATGTATGGTGCAACAGGTCTTTTAGGGCGGTGCTGCACTTTTCTAAGGGGTGCTAGACACCACTAGGTGGGGT